GATATATTGACATGAATTGAATTGGCTAATGGTCAGAAAACAGTGAGTGGGGACAAAGGTTTCTTTTTAACAGGTTGGTGATGAATGACCAGTAGGGTTCCACAGGGGTCATTTACAAATGACACAAAAATATGTGAGATATTGATAGGTTAAGTAAGTGGGCAAGAAGTTGACAAATGGAACTTAATGTGGGAAAATGTGAAGTTATCTATTTTGGAAGGGAGAACAAAAGAACAATATTATTTAAATGGAGAAAATCTGCAACACAGATGGACTTAGGAGTACTAGTGCACGAAACAGCCCAAGCTAGCGCATAGGTGCAGCAGGTAATCAGGAAGGCTACAAAAACAAAGTTGCTGGAGAAGCTCAGCAAGTCTGGCAGCATCTGTGAAAAAAAACCAGAGTTGTTATTTAGGGCCCGGTGACCTTCCTCAGAACTGATGATAGCTGGAAAAACGTGGGCTTATATGCAGAAAATAGGGAGTGGGATGGGGTAGGGAGTAACTGATAGGATAGAGCCCGAAGAGAGAGAACAGCAGTTGGATAGACAAAGGAGTTGCTAACGATCAGGCTGGGAGGGTGAATTGTTGTTAATGGGGACTATTAGTGACTAACAACAGGTAGTGTGTAATGGCAGCCTATGTGCTAACAAGGCCTGGTGTGTGGGGTAGGGGGCTGGGACATGGGAGAGTTTAGACCCTAAAATTATTGAGCTCGATGTTGAGTCCGGAGGTCCCGACCTGAAACGTCAACTTTCCTGCTCCTCTGATGCTGCCTGGCCTGCTGTGTTCATCCAGCTCCACACTGTGTTATCGATCCTCCCTTGTCTACCTAAATCACTAGAACCTATATTGGCTAAAATAACTGGATTCTTCCTCTCCCCAAGCGGAAAATGAGGTGTTGTTCTTCCAAATTACGTTGGGCTTTGCTGGAATAATCCTTGATTCCAATTTCCTGCTTTATCCTGTAATCTTTGATTCCCTTACTAATTAAAAATCTGTCTATCTCAGCCTTGAATTACTCAACCTCCACACCCCTCTGTGGTAAAGAATTCCACAGGTTCACCACCTTCCAAGAGACGAACTTTCTCCTCATCTCTACGTTAAATGAACAACCTGTTAGTCTGACATTATGCCCTCTGGTCCTACCTCGTCACATCTACTCTGTCAAACCCCTATATATTTCAATAATCTCATTCTTTGATACTCGAATGAGTATAAGCCCAATCTACTCAATCTCTCCTCATAATAAAATTCCTGCATGTCAGGGATGAACCCTGTAAATCTTCTCTGGACTGCCTCCCAATTCCTAATTTCTTTCCTTAGACAAGGGGACTAAATCTGTTCACAGTATTCTAGGTGTGGTCTGAGTAGTTTTTTGTATGGTTTTAATAAGACTCCCTTATTTTATATTCTGTTCTTTTTGAAATAAAGACCAACATTCCATTTGCCTTTCCTATTACCCACTGAACTTGGATGCTAGTTTGGTGTGATTCTAAATCTCCGCACTTCCTGTAGTCTCTCTCCATTTTAAATAATATTCACTTCTATTCTTCCTACAATAGTGCACACCTTACATTTTCTCACATATTTCATATGGCAAGAGCTTTTTTTTTTAGCCCGCTTGCTTAACCCGTGCACATGTTTATAAATCTCTGTGTCATCCTTACTATTCTACTCCCTACCTGCTTTTGACATCTGCAGTCTTGGCTATAGTACATTCATTTTCCTTGTACAGGTCTTTAATACATATTGTAAATAATTGCTTGCAGAACTAATTACAGGTTGCCACCTTGAAAATGTCTCCTTTTATCCCAACTCTGTCTTCTATTAGTTACCCAATCTTATCTATGCTAACACACTACTCACAACATCATTGGCTCTTACCTTGTTAAGCAGCCTTGTATGTGGTACCTTATCCGAGGTCTTTTGGAAATCCAAACCTGTATCAGTACACAGCGCCATTGGAAATCCAAACCTGTATCAGTACACAGCACCATTGTCTTGCACACGCCCTCACTATTTCACTAAAGATCCTCTCGACAGTTCTAGCTACACAATTCACCAGGACACTAGTCCCAGCACTGATCAAGCAAAGATATCCAATAGTGCAATTCCCTCGTTCCCCAGTGCTAGTGCCAGTGTCCCCATGAATCATAGCTCTTTACTTCCATATCAATCTTTGATCCACTGATTCCACCCTCCAATCTTATTTGCGTTATAGCAATTTGCTCTTAGTACAGGGAACAATTGAGAGTTCTATAATTGTTGCTGTTGGGTGAGTTGCAGATGATGCTTCTTGGCTATTACTTAGCTAGACTCTGGTTCTTTCTTTTCAACCTCTTTTAAAAATTTACACCACTCTAACTACATACATTACCTCTCTGCATGAGGTCTTCGCTGGTTGCACCTTCTCTAAAGTTTCTTTTTCATTGTGATTGTGACATTATCAGTGGTATAGCTTCCTATGTACATGCTCAGGAGTTAACCTGTGGTTCTGCTCTTTAGTCCTTAGCTGCTGATACACCCTCAGCAGAACCTCCTCCCTAATCTCGGAGATAGCAAGAACTGCAGAAGGGTCCCGACCCGAAACGTCAACTTTCCTGCTCCCCTGCTGCCTGGACTGCTGTGTTCCTCCAGCTCCACACTGTGTTATCGCTCCTCCCTAGTCTACCTAAATCACGAGAACCTATATTGGCTAAAATAACTGGATTCTTCTCTTTGCAACTTCCCCTTGAGTCCTGAGAGAGTATCTGTCAGCTATCAGGGAAGGAGAACACCATCTTTAGGACTCAGGCTTTCAACTGTCAAGAATAATATCTAACTCCTATCTATACTGTCCTCGACTACAAAATGCTTTTATTCACGCCCACTTAAATGGCTCCTTGCACCATAATGCCAGGTCAGTTTGCTTTCTACAATCCCTACTCTGTCCTCTCAAGCTGCAAGAATCTCAAGCCCTGTTGAACAATTGCGAGGACATTGTTTCATCTGGATCCTCATATTGGCCTGGCTTATAGTCACCCTCCTGTCCCTGACCCACATCAAATGGAGGAAGCTTGAACGAACTTAGATGGGTGTAAGAGGGGAAACGCCTGTTCTTTCAGGGAGTATGTTTAAGTTAATTAGTACAGATGTCCCATGTCATTTGTCTTAAATTGAGCAATTGGCACAGAATCATCAAATAAGGTATTTGTCACTTCATGCTTTTAATGTACACTAATATTTCAATTGTCTGTACATTATTAATTTTAATACTATACAGTGAAACTTGTGTTCTCAATGCCTGACTGTAGACTTTTCAGATGACGGAACTTTGCGTAAGATATTATTGCTGAGTACATAGCTTGCTAATATCAACCTACTAGTATCTGGTAAAACTAAAAAAAAAGTCGTATTCAATTCATGTTAAACATATTGTAATCGTCTTTAATCTTTTGAAGCATTATGGTACAGCATGTTTAAGGCTTGCATATTTGAGAAATACTGATTGCTTGGCAATTTCTATCATCCACTAGCAATAATGGAGGTTCTACTGAATAATCAAATTAAACTTGGAATTCTTTACTTTGAAAAACTGTTTCATCTCTAACTCCAGAGTCCGGTTGCCCTCAAAGTCCAAAAGAACCTGAGTCCCACGCTCTTTCTGATCCTGAACATAGAAGGATAAGAGTGGAGTGCCAGCTATTTGTAACCTATTAGCTAAAGATTTGGCAGAATGTGGGCTAGTGGAATGTTGCATGATATGCTGTAACATTAGTAATCATTTTTGGATTAGTGAAACATATTAAGGGTACAGATATCAAAACAATGGATATTCTCTATTGCATTTACTCTAAAAACAGGATAAAGGGATCATTAAATGTAAGCTTCAAGTATTTATATTTCTGAAAACCAGTCAGTTGACAGCTTCAAGTGATTTCTGTTGAAATCAACCTGTGTAAGATAGAAGTTTTGCTTAAAACTATGACTTATGTATTGCATTATATAATAACAAATGGCTGTCAAGAGTGCAAGTTGTTGCCAAGTCATTTGTAAATCTGGTGTTCATATACTGTAATGTTGTTCACGGTCAGGATTTTCATTAAGGAACTGTTAAGGAGTGATATTAGGAAGGCTGATTGACAAGCATTATGAGCAATCTTGATATTTAGCAATGTTGCAAAGAAGGCTCCATGGTCTGTAGCTCTAAGAGGGGTTCCACACTGTTGAGAAATCCTGGAACCAGTGATGAGCAGCATCCCTGGATTTTTGAACATGGAACAAAGGAATCAGTGAGAATTAGAGGGATGTCTGAGGATTTTCTTATATTGAGGTAGGAAACCTGTGGTATATATTCAAGAAAGGCTAGTGGAATTTTGTGGATGTTGTCAGAGGGGCAATGGGGTTTGAGGTGGAGTGTGTTGGTTTCAAATGTAAGTTATGAATGAATTCTTGCTGAACTATAACTCATTCTCCAAGGTGAATGTGCTGTAGAATTTCTCAGTCTGTTCCTTAACAGCGCTGGCAAAATGACATGTTATTCCATTATATAGATTTCCCTGGCTGACCTATTTACATCTAGCTTTCTTTAATGTTTGAGTGAATTTGGTTTAATTGCTACAGTTGTTGGTGGAATAATATTGATTGTGGGCTTGCTCAAGAGATCACTCCTGAAGTTGCCAATATGATTTCCTGATAGTTTCTACTTTGTCAGTACAGTTTGGAGACTTCAATAGCTGAGGGAAATTTAATCAGAATGTCAGAGACTGCTCACTTAAATCTCAAGTAGTGGCACTATGGAGCCCTGAGATAGGATGATTGTTAAACCTCTAGCTCCAAGTAGTGTCTTCTGCAAGAAAACCAATGATGTAGAAGGGAACAAAATTAATATGAGACAAAAAAGTTTTTTAAAATTGCATGAAAAACATTTTATGAATGTTTTATTTCAACTGAGACTTGTTTTTTGAAAACATAAGCATGTTTTTTCAGGTATATAATGTTGTTTTCCTCTTGTCACAGTGCATTGAAGTATGCAGCTATTGGAACTACACAGTATTTCACAAATGTTTCAGTCAATGTGTAAGTACGTTCTCTGCTCGTAAGAAAATAAAGTTGATTTTCTGAGTTGCAGAATAAACAAGTAAGTATGTCTTTGTGGATAAAAACAGAACTCCGTTCTAAATTTTGGAAATCTTTTTAGTAGTAGGCATTCAGATTTAGAATGTTTTAGAATTTATTAATCGCATCCATTTTGAAATCACTGATCTGTGTTATCACAACAAATGAATTCGTAAATTATAATATAAATAACATTCAGGATATATAAATCATGTCAAACAAACCCTTTTATGTATATGCTATAATTATAGCTTATCATTTTGTTTGGCAACTAATTTCCCTGCTCTGTTGCATACTGTGGGTGGAAACTTCTGCTTCTGCAGGTGGCAGACTGGAGGTGGAGGAAACTTGATCGGGCAGGGTGATTGCGCCCAGAAGCCAACTACTTTCACCTTCATTGGAATTGGGTGGGAAGGTCTAAGTTCACTCTTCCTGATCTGCTAATTTGAGGCCACTAAGTGGTGAATTAATGGCTGCCTAAGGGTCTATGCCCACCTGGGTTGCAGCTATATCATGTACTGGAGTCGAGTTCTCAGCCTGATTTTAACCCTAGCAGGCAGGCTGTCAGTTGGTGCGATGTCCCTCAACCAGCGCACAATCTGGGCATAGGGTGTGACAGTGGCCTTCAGTCATTCTCCTGCTCTTGCTTCAAACCCCACTTCTCCCCATCCCAAAAACAGTCACCTGTTCTGTGGCCGCTCTTCCATGCTGGGAATCCTGGAGGTGTTGAACTGGCCACAGCCTCCTCCATGGCACTGCTACCTGTTTGAATTGCTAGCTCCTGATTGGCTGGCATTTCCTCATTCAGGGTCTTCATACTGGTAGGCCACCAACCAGCTGTCTGGTTGCCAGAAAACGAAGTGAGCTTTCAGATCCTGAGTTGGCACAAGTTTCTCTCAGCTGATCACTCTCTCTTTCGTACTTCAGGAGACTACAGCCCGGGTGTCCCTTTGTGTGTTTTCCTCCTAGAATCTCCAAGCAGCACATTCATTCTGTCTGGTTAAACAGGATTAAGTTTATTCAGAGCTGAGTTGGCACAACATTCACTCCAGTTATTAGGCAAGATGTGGAAGCTGTCTGGGCAATTTAATTTTTTTTTCCTTTGCACTTGCAAGCTGGCACCTGTCATCTCTTTATCTCCTCTTCAGAAAATAAAACCTGGGTGGAAGGTGTAGGTTCAAATTGTTATCCACCATTATATAATGTAGTTTCATCCTGCTGCTGCAAAATACACTATAGAGAGGTCTTGTGAAAGTGGTTTGGTATTAGTCTGGAATATCAATGCATTAGCTAAAAGGTTTTGTAAGTATTGTCCATCCAACTGAATTATTCAGAATTATAGATCACATTTTACTTTATAATGAAGGGGTAGCTTGGACATACCGTGCTTCACTTTGCATGCTGTACAGTAAATATTCACATTATAATAAACAAATGACTTAGTCTGTATTAACTTACTGTCGAGTAAACTTGCAGCTGTACAGTCTTCTGGCTCAGGCTCAAAATATGTTTTATCCTTCAGTCTAAACACATCCAAGTGTTAATGCAATAAGAACTGATGAGCCATACAGCTGCCAGTATAGTTACATCATAATGAGCACATGAGATGTTTTTCTTCTTACTTGTGATTTATAGATTTGAAGTGAGTTTTATGACTTTCTACTAGCTATCTTTTGATGTAGTGAATGCTGTAATGTCACTGAAATGAAGGAACAGAATTGGAAGGTACTTTTTCTGTGGGAGAGGAATAACTGCTTTTATTGGCATAGAGATCATCCCAGTCCCTGAACAGTATATGTTATGGCATTGAATAGAAACATAGAACAGTGCAGCACAGGAACAGGCTCTTCATCCCTCCATGTTTGTGACAACCATGTTGCTATTCTAAACTAATTCCATCTGCCTGCACATGGTCCGTATCCCTCTATTCCCTGCCTGTTCATGTGTCTGTCTAAATGCCTCTTAAACATTGCTATCGTATCTGCTTCTACCACCTCCCCTGGCAGCACGTTCCAGGCACCTGCCACCCTCTGTGTAAAATAAAAACTTTCCTCGTATGTCTCCTTTAAACTTTCCCCCTCTCACTTTAAACCTCTGCCCCCTAGTACTTGCCATTTCCACTCTGGGGAAAGGTGACTCTGACTATCCACCCTATCCATGCCATTGTATCCTTTTATCAGGTTGCCCCTCAGCCTCCGCTCTAGCGAAAACAAGCAAAGTTTGTCCAACTTCTCCTTTATTGCTAATAAACTCCGATCCATGCAACATCCTGGTAAACATCTTTTGTACTCTGTCCAGAGCGTCTGCATCCTCACCACAGCGTGGTGACCAGAACTGCACACAATACTCCAGATGTAGCCTAACTAAAGTTTTGACTTGCTAACTGTTTTACACAGTGCCCTGACTGACGAAAGTAATCATGCCATATGACGCCTTTACCATCTGATCCAATTATGTTGTCACTTTCAGGAAGCTATGGATTTGCACCCCAAGATTTCTCTGTATATCAATGCAACTAAAGCTTCTTGCCATTTATTGTATACTTTCATCTTGCATTTGACCTGCCAAAATGCATCACCTCTCACACTTGTCTGGATTAAACTCCATCTGCAATTTCTCTCTTGAACTTTCTAATCAATTTGCATCCTGCTATATCCTTTGACAACCTTCCTCACGATCCACAGCTGCACCAATTTTCACGCCACCTGCATAGTTACCAATCAGACCATCTACGTTTTCATCCAAATCATTTTTATAAATTACGAACAACAGAAGTTCCAGCACTAATCCTTGCAGGTTACCAGTCACAGACCTCCAGTCAGAAAAACACCCCTTCACAACTACCCTCCATCTTCAATGACCAAGCCAGTTTTGTGTACAACTTGCCAACTCACATTGGATCCCATGTGACTTAATCTTCTGGACCAGCCTACCATGAGCGACCTTGCTTTAGTAAAGTCCATGTAGTTAACACCCACTGCCATTCCCTCATTATCATCTACGTCACTTCCTCAAAAAGCACTCAATCAAATTTGAGAGACAAGACCTCCCCTACACAAAGCCATGCTTTTAGGAAAATCAAGTGAGATGTCCAGTGAGCACCTTCCAGATGTCAAGCCCCATTTTCCAACCAGGTGATGGATGGCGAGATGAGAAAGTCACTGGTGAGTAGCGCGAGGTATATTTTCATGGCTAATCACTCATTATGACCTCCATTACTATGTAATATTGCCTTATTAATATACACTCTTCCACCCACTGGACAGAAATGGACACTGAATTTCCAACACAAAATGTCACAGCAGCTATAGTCGCCACTTGAACCTTTATTTCTATCTTTGACACCAGTGGCCAACAGGGCACATGCCATGGCCAGTGACCACATAAAGCCCATGTCCACGAATATTGGCATGAATGCCTTTCTCTTTGGTATTTTGCCAGGGTTAAAGGCTGACAGTGCTTCTATCCTGACTTGCCTTTTAGCACAGATGCAAAGCCAGGCAGCTTGTCATGGTTGTCAGCAGTAACCAGTTAAAGGGGTGGGCATGTTTCTGTATGACACCATGCCACGTCAGTGTTACACCTGCATCATGTGCCAGCCCTGTGCGCACTGAACTCCTCCTGTACTTCATTAAATGGCTATGTCTTGGAATCTAAAGCAAGTAGATACAGTCACATCCAGCGATACACCCTTCAGGCAGGGGCTCCCAGTACAGTAAGGGAAGGGCAGCTTCTAACATTCTGCGGTTTGGGAAGAGTCTGTCAGCCAGTTGGCACAGTCAAGGTCAGGGAGTCCATACCTCTCCAGGGAGAAGACCATGGTCATCCCTGTGGGACCAGTGCAAGCAGTTCAGGGTATCATGGGAGGTTGGTCTGGGAGCTGAACAATTATCAGTCAGGGGTCTGGTCACTCACCTTTCAGAATGGTTCAGCTAAGTCATTCAAAGGAGTGGCCCATTGTCTGTTCTAGGGTTACGTCCATTAAAAGTTGAAGGGGTTTATGAGGGGGCCAGTGCTGCAGGAGGGAAGCTGAGAAACTTTATTGTGGGGACTGGAGGAAGAATGCTGGGATGCACAGGGGGTTGCAATTGTGAACAGGGTGTGGGGGTTGTTGGGGTGGAGACAATAGAACATTGAAGGGAAAAGGCTAATGAGAGTGTTGGGTGTCATTGACAGTCAGCATCACGCTACCTTTAATGGGCAGGAATTAGGTGGCCGGGGGAACAGAAGTGTACTAGTAGACCTGCCATGTTTATCCTTGGGGCTGGATGTAACAGGGACAAACGAAGACTAAGATAAATGGGTTAGGTGGGGACCTGAGGACGGTTAGGGTTGATGAGGAGGCTAACCAAGAAGGGAATGTGTCCATTTGGGGGTTTGTCAATACTAAGAGCCCGAGCCTGAGACTCACTGTTTGAGGAGCGACTACTGTTGGCTTCTTTCCAGCTGAAAATAACAAGCATAACGGAATTTAAAATAGCTGTTACCACACTCAGAGTGAGCGGGGTACGTGTTTCTGTCTGTGACAGAGAGGGCATCAAACTTCAGCAATGTGAGGCCCTTCAAAGGGCAACAACATGACACAGACTCCCAGGCACTGAAGCTTAGGTACATCGATGAGCATTACATGTTTTGTGAACCTATGTGCAGCCCTGATCCTTTCCCCAAACCCTGTTGACCACATCAGGAAACCTTGTGAATCAGTCCCAATAAAGGATGTGATGCATAATGAATTCCAACATGGAAAGATTGCCCCTAGTTGTCAATGCAGCAGTCACCTATAGCCGGCATATGGTGCAGGAGCTGCTCACCTCATTTTTGACCATCAAACACGATGTAGCGCTAAGGATGACTAGGCAGTACATCCTCAATGTTGAAGGTGTTGATGTACTTACAGTTATGTCATCCGTGCAACCTGTGTGCCCTCCGAAGGTTGTTGTCTTTCTTTCGCTCCCATTATGTCTCAGTGCAGTCCTGGACTCTGCAGCTCGGGTGGAGGGAGCCTGCCCTACAGTGGTCCCTGTTGGCTTTGTGCATTTTGGATCAGGCTGAGGGTGGCAGGCAGAATGGAGGTGGAAGAAGGAGCCACCCCTGGAGTGTCTGGAGAGGCAACTTCTGTGGGCTCCTCTTCTGGCTGCATGTCAACTGGCACTGCCTTGTCTCCTTGTGAGGAAGGGGTACCCACACTGAGCTCCCCTGTTTACCACTGTCACCTTGCTGTTGATGCTGAGCATCAGTGGAGAGGTTGACAGAGTGCAGGTCTGTGTACATATTCAGCAGACTTGGAGATTGCTGGACCTGGCTCTCCATTGCAGCCACCCTCCTATCCAAGGAGGAAGCCTGCACTGGAGGATCATATCAGCTTGGGGCTGAACAAGTGCCAGTCTCTGGCAGTCCTCTGAGTACCATCGGCTTTGGACATTGCTTCCTTGACCAGCTGTGGAGACGTGCCAGGGAAGTGTTCGCCATCAGTTTCTCCTGACTTTAGGCAAAATACCCGCTGAGCTGTGAGGGTTTGAGCTGATGGGGTGTGCAGGAAGCAGCCTTACCCATGCTGTCTCTGAACTATCCAAACTCTGTCCCTTTGAGGTGGAGGAGGGAATGTCAGATCAGTCAAGGACTGCAGATTTCCTTCTGTAAAGTTCTTTTCATAAACATTTATTACTGAGGCTAACTTGTTTAATTGCAGATTTATTAAACTTAGTTTGGATCAAATTATTTCAATTTAATGAAGTAATGTATTTAATATTTGTAAAGCCAAAACATTTATTGCCCAGTGCCACGATGGTTTGGTAGACGTCGATGAGAGGTTCTTTGTGGTCTGTGACCATTTCTTATCCAGGATGTCTCCAGTGAAGCTTGTGAACATTTATATCAAAAGATGAGACATGCACATTGATGACAATATTCAACTGGCAATATCTTCTTTTGTTATGTCTGTTTCAATGAACAGAGATCTGTCCTTGCAGTGTCCTTGGAGGCCAGCTTTTGTCTTTTTTTTTCCAAGTTTTCGCTGAGCATTGGCTGACACTGAAAAATATGCATTTATCTTTAATGTGTTTATTGATTAACTTCTATTTGTTAAGTTTATTTGTTTTTAAAGAAGAAGCTGGTTTGCACAAGGTCAAACATGCTATTCTAAAGCCAATAATTTGGAAGTATTCTCACTTGAAGGGTGTATTTCTTTTTAAACTGAATAGCAATTATAATGTTTTCAAGGGAAAAGACATTAGATACTCGCATGACTGATAATTGCTCCCATTAGTTTTCAGTTAGATGGAATGGAAATTCAGGAGATTTTGCTCATGTTTTCAATGCGCTTTAAGTAACAAGTTGGTACAGACCATCTCTGAAATTCAGTTGCACGTTTTGTTTTGGTAGATTCTTAAGGGCTGTTAGTAGCTAACTGATATGGAAGTATAAATTCCTTTCCTCCTTTTACAGGATTCATCATTCAATCAGACATGTGAGGTAAGCAATATCAAAAATCTAAATTATACAATCCATCTTGTAACCTGCATTACTGCCAATGAGAGAGGAATTTGAGCCTTATAGGTGCATTTTATTCTGTCTCCTTGACAATTTTGATTTGTGGCTATTTAAGTGTACAGTGAAGGAGTGCTAAATGAAACCCAATATTGTTCTTATTATTTGCTGCTTGGAAGATTCCTCCAGAGCTTCCATAATATAAGGATTCATCAATTGCCATTGTGTCTCAGAACCCTAAGGACATAAAACTCTCACTCCAGGTAATTTTGGACTCTGGTAGTTGTTTGTATGTTGAATTTATGTCTAATTTTCTACACAGGCATCTCACCCAGGAGGCATATTGCCGATAGCCATCATAGTTGATCTCAGTGCCTTCCTTAAATGTTCACATCTGCATATTTTCTAACAGGAAAATGACTTCATAATGATATAATCCCGTTTGAATTTCCACTTTTCTTTCTCCCAGTTTGTGCCTGGCCTACCCCAGTTTTTTTGTGATTAAAACCAGCAAAAGGCCAATATTTTTTAAAAAACTACAGATGCTGGAAATCTGAAACAGAAACAGAAATAGCAGGAGAAGCTCAGCAGCCTGGCAGCGTCTGTGGAGAGAAAGTAAAGTTAATGTTTCAGATCCACTGACCCTGCATCAGAACGTTCCCCAGTTCTGAGAAAGAGTCATGGACCCAAAATGTTAATTGTGAGACCTGCCAATAATCAAAGCTGAGACTTCTAGTCTCATCAGTTTAACTTTTGCTCGTGCCCATGGCAAGATGTTTAGATAAGGAGATTTTGGTTCTAATTTAAATTACACACAATGCCAGTATCTCAGCTGGACTGCAGCAGTTCAAGCGGGAAGCTCGCTACCACTTTCTCCAGGAAATCTAGGGATGGGCAGTAAATGATTGCACAGCCAGTGACACCCACATCCCATGAGTGAATTTAAAACTTTCCTCTGATGGAATGCTATGTCAGTTAAGCTCTGTTGGCCACAAGCCAGACAGTGCATGGTTTTATCCTGCAGAAGGTGATGTTATTCCTGGTGAAGATCCTTGTACCCCTTGTTGGAAGACCACTATCATTTTCTCAGTCCTTCAGAGTTCATCTGATTCTTCATCTGCTCAGTTGTTCAAAACACAGTATATGAGGTTAATGCGGCAGAATCTGTCTGAAATGTACTGCAGGGTTGCTCCAGACCAAAGGAGCATCAGAAGTTTATCTTTAGGGGGTCTACCAGCTGTTCCACAATGACACCAGTGGCAGAATGGGCTGCATTGTATGTATATTCTGCTCAGTCAAGGGGTTGCATAATGGAGTCATTGGTTGCAAAGGGTAGCCCTTGTCCGGCCCTTGTAATGAAACTGGAGCAAAAAAGTTCTCAAGGAAGTTGACATCACAATAGCAATTTGTGCCAGCTACACTGGGAACTAAAATGTGGTACTGATGATCACAGATGATTTGTGCACTGATGGAATGGAAAACTTTTCTGTTAATGGTGGTAACTGTTATGATATGGTGCTGTCAATGCGACATGTTCATTGTATATCCAGCATCTGAGGAAAGCTAGCTACATTGGCAAAGCCTACTGCCAGGGCTATAGCACTGATCTCATCGGTAAAGAGTGTGATCTGTCACAAGTTACTAAGTAATAGCCTTGATGCAGCACCAGTAAAAGGTGTTGATTGATTTTATTGTCCCGTGTACCAAAATACAGTAAAAAGCTTTGTTTACAAGCGGAACCATGGCAAGCAAAGGATGTACAGTTCAAAAAGACTTAGAGGCATACAGGTTACATTGCAGGTCACATTATTTGAGGCTAAAGCCCATTCATTAGTCTAATAATGGCCGGAAAGAAGCTGTTCCTGAACTTGCTTGTGTGTGTGTTCAGGCTTCCGTATCTTCTGCCTGATGGAAGAAGTTGTAGGAGGTCATTACCGGGGTGCAATGGGTCTTTGATGTTGGCCGCCTTTCCACAGCAGCGAGCTGAGTAAATAGTCCATGGATGGAAGGTTGGCATCCGTAATGGTCTGGGCTGTGCACTCCACCGTCTGTAGTTTCTTACGGTCCTGGGCAGAGCAGTTGCCGTACCGGGCCTTTATTCACCCAGACAGAATGCTTTCAATGCTGCATCTGTAGAAAGCATACTGTCCAGGTGCATAATGGCCTGCTATGGCAACTGCTGTGCCCAGGACTGTAAGAAACTACAGAAGGTGGTGTGCACAGGCCTGATAGGAGCTCATGGTATCACAGGTTATGTATTGGCGTGGATTGATAATTTGTTCACAAACAGAAGACTGGGAGTCAGGATTAATGAATCTTTTTCAAATTAGAAAGACATAATTAGTGGAGTGCAACAAGGATCGGTCGTAGAGCCTTAATTACTTACACTCTATCTTAATGACTTAGGTGAGGGGCGGGGTGTAATGTATCAAAATTTACTGATGATACAAAAATAGATGGGGGTGCATGCTGCAATGAGGGCGTGAGGAATCCAGAAGGGGATGTAAATAAGGTGATTGAGCAGGCAAAACTTGGCAGATGGAGTTTAATGTGGGAAAGTACAAGGTCATACACAAACTCCAAAAGGTGCAGCACAGAAGGATCAAAATGTTATCGTGCTTGCACAGCAAATAATTAAGAAAGCAAATGGAGTTTTGGTCTTCATCGCTAGGGAATTGGAGCTTAAAATTAGGAAAGTCTTGTTACAACTGTACACGGTATTGGTGAAGCTACACCTGGAAGTACAATTTTTGTCTCCATATTTAAGAAAGGCTATACTGACATTGGAGACAGTTCAAAAGAGATTCACTAGGCTGCTTCCTGGAATAAACGGGTTTACTTATCAAGAACGGTTAATTTTGTTAGGCCTTTATCATTAGAGTTTAGAAGAATGAGTGGTGATATTATTGAAATGTAAGATTCCGAGGAGATAGGGGTGTTGACAGGGTATATGTGGAGAAGACGCTTCCATCTGTGGGAGGTGTTTTGAACGAGGGAACATAGTCACAGAACAAGGAGACACTCATTTAAAACTGTATTGCGAGGGAATTCCTTCTCCATTTAGTAGTCTGGAATTCTCTATTCTGAGAGTAGTGGAGCTTACATCTTTGAAAGCACTTAAAGAACTGGTAACTAGGTTTTTGAGAAAAATCAGAACTTAGGGCTGTGAGGAGCTCGTCCTTGAGAGCAGTATAGCCTCAACTTGTGGAATGGCAGGCAGGCAGGCTTGAGGGGCTGAATGGCCTACTCCTGCTCTTACTACTTAAATTTATTCTGGGTGTGGTTACAGCATTTTTTCCATTTCCATTGCATGTCTATGATTTGCGTAAAGATGGAAGGCAATATAGTTAGCACAGTGGTAAGGAAGGGGCTCCTCCATACCTCCGTGTTCCTTGCATTCCCTGTCAGTACTGATATCCTATGTGTTCCCACCTAACCCTTCCATTTAATTCTTCATCTCCCAACATTAACTCCTGAGCATGCCTAACGGTTTAGCCATGCCAACCATGCCGCTGCACTGTCTTCTTTTTGAAGTCAGAGTGGTTGTTGCTGTCACAGGCCCTCAATTCCCCACCTCCCATCGTAACTATTGTCCTCAAGTACAGTCCCACCTCCCACCCTTGTATGGTGAAAAGAATCCCCTTCACATTTATTGTTCCTTCAGCATTTCAATATGCTGTCTCCAATCCACATGATTGAACTCCCCACTTTCCCTACCACAGCTGCGGCCCGTGACCGTCCCCCTCAACTCGCCACTAATTTGCACATTTCTCTTCTCGCTGTTCAAAACATGGTTGCAGAATTGGACTTTTTTTTTGCTCAATGCTAACAATTCCATTCTCCTTACCTTTCCACCTTATCCCAAATGTCTGGCCATGGCCATTGCCTTTGCCATTCAAGGCCTGGGATAATTCAGCCCCATGGTGATTAAAGTTAGATCTACACTGTCTGATTATTTACCACATTGCTATTTGTGGGACATATTCCATGTAAAATTGCTGCTGTGTTCTCATGCAACATTGACTGCACTTTTAAAATACATCAGTTGTTGTAAACTACTTTTGGATGTCCTGAGGTCATGCAAAGGACTGTATAAGTTCTCAGTTTAACCAATTTTTACCGAATTTACTGAGCTTTATTGTTTGCATCACTGTGTTCAGAGGATCATTGCTTTTTTTTTAATACAGGTACAGATCTGTCAGTTTAGCTGTAAAAGGGCTAAGGAATCTTATGTGTTCCACATAACAGGTAAGGAGCAATATTTAAAGTTTGAGCTCTGAACTGTGAGCTATTCTTAAATAAGTCATTCAAAGGACTTTTATGTAACATGCATATTCTTCAGGCAAGTATTTTTCATGGAGGTGGGTCTTTTTCCGAATGTGTATTTGCGTAAATGTTTCTAGCGTATTTTCACTGTTTAGCTATTGTAGCTTCTTTCTTCTTCAAAGGGTAATTGGAGTCAGGGTTAAAAGTTTTATACTGTGAGGGAAGTTGGTGCCAGAGGCAGCATATGTTTTGATTTTTACATTTTTGATACAACATACTACTTGGTTATATCTGTGGCTGTCCGATTTGGGTGCAGTGAGACCTCTCATTCCTTCTCCGATTCTGCTTTTTCACTGCTACAGCACATTGATAAAAGGTAGATCTAGTAAGACTCTATCATTCTGAATTGTTTGTAATGACTTATACTGCAGATGGCAGCAAACCAGAAATAGAATAAAAACATAGAAAGCAACATAGAAATTAAAGGAAGTGTTAAAGCCCATAAATACAATAATCTCAAAAACAAAAATGAAAAGTAAGTACTGCAGCAAAAAGAACATGTGGCAGTAATTAAGAGTATTAAAATTTAAGAGCTAAGCCTCCCAAACAACAAAGTACCATCAATGCAACATCCAATTAAGTTTTTTTTCATCAACCTTAGTGGACTTCCAGTGGAGAATTAAAAAAATGGCAGTTATGGTTTCTTTTTGTACTGGTATAAAATTTGAAAGGCTTAATAAATTTATCTTGGCATTTGTCTCAATACATAAATAGAGTGGAGAAAGATTCACTGAGTATTTGTGAACAAACAGCTTTGGGGCTTGTTTGCTGAATTCTTGTGACAGACTCTAGTAGAATTTATTTGGCCTAAATACACTCTTTCGGAATTTGCCTTTATGTCCATTTTCAAGGTGAATTTGTTTATCTGAGACAAATAAAATGTTGGCTTAAAAGAATTATTCCTTTCCCAATTTCCAGCTAATCAACATTATGCAAATATGGCATCTTCACAGTGGAATTTAGTCCTTCATAGAATTGTTAAATCGTTAGTGTGGAAACAGGCCCTTTGGCCCAACAAGTCCACACCGACCCTCAGAGCATTCCACCAGACCCAGACCCATCCCCCTACTCTTTCCCTGTAATCTATCTACACATCCCTGAACGCTACGGATAATTTAGCATGGCCAATTCACCTAGCCTGCACATCCTTAGACTGTGGGAGGAAACCGGAGCACCTGACGGAAACCCACGCAGACACGGGGAGAATGTGAAAACTCCACACAGACAGGTGCCTGAAGGTAGAATCGAACCCGGGTCCCTGACGCTGTGAGGCTCTTCAGCCTTCTTATAGAAACAAAAACTTTTGTTTGTTGTCACAAAATGAGTTGCAGTTTTGACTGATTTCTTTCCTTTCCAGTGGGAGGAACACTGAGGCCATTTGTCTCTGTCAGCCATTTTTCAGTTCATATCAGCCATCTCAGTCCAAACCCTACTTGATCTTCACATCCTTGTTGCATGCCGTTTGGTGCATTCAGCCACTGAGTCTATAGGACAGCTACTGGCAGCAACATCTTTGTAACTACTTTTCCTGTCTTCTTCCTATTTCTACTTGCCCTTTCCTTTTGAAGGCACTTATGGTTAACGTAACATTGATAAACCCTCATTATTGATGTTCAGTTAGTTAAATTTTGGCAGCATATTTCTAATTTTTTTTCTGCATGGATCAGTAAAAGGATAAAAAAAATCCAACTACTGACATTTTTAATGGTCCGTTGATTCACCACATTGTTGAAGATACTGTATGGAAATAAATTAGAGTATCGGATGAATTCACCCAATGACAATTGGATCACAACTAGTAAACTTCTTATACCTATTACATTTAAAGGAGAAAGAGAATCCTCAGTAGGATTTCTTCAAGTTTAATTGATAAAGAAACCATAATGAAAATGTTGTTTTGCAGTAAAATGCTGTGATCAGTATTAAGAGGTATCAAGATTTCATTCACTGTTTTTCAGATTTATGGAAGTGATCAATGAGTTTTTGTTTTTGTTACTTGCAAATATTGCAAATATTGCGTTTTTTTTGTATCTCTTTAGAGTCACTGAATGATCCCCATCCTCCTGTGGCAAGTGCAATACATAGTACATCAATTCTTGTAAAATGGGAACGAGCAAACTCATCAGCAGTAGGATATATTCTTCAGTGGAGGTACAGAGAACTAGCTGGGCAATGGATTTACACTGAAGTACGTATTTAGTAATGGGCTACAACAATTCCAATAATTCTGAATGTTTTAAGAGTTTGCAGTAAAATCCAGAATATAAATATAGAAATTTGTTTCAGTATCCACAACCCTCAAAAGCTACTTAACATTGTTGATTGAAGAAAATTCATGTTGACTGAATAGTTGAAGTACAAAATATCTGTTTTGAATTTTGATGACAATTTCCAGATTTGCAATTGAATACTTAAGTTTCAGTTTGCAATAAACATCTTTTAGGACACAGAACTTTCGTTGTCTGTCTTATATCCCTCTGCAACAAATATTTTACGTTGATTCATGTGCATAGAACTTTCCCATTCAGTTAAACTATGGATAGATACTTGCAAGTGATTGCTATTTGATTTTTAATGCATAGAAAGATTGGAAGTACTTTATTTACAATTTGTTCATTGAAGTTGCAAAAGTTATTTTCTTAAAGCTTTCATGACTACATGTTTTAGTTAGTTCAGTTTCACTTTGTACTTTGAAAGACAGATATATTCAAAAGTAAAATTGGATTGAATTAACAGTAAAGAAAATGCAGTTGAACAAGTGCCATCCTTGGAAACTTTGTAAAGCAATTGATCTGTTGTCTATATGACCCACTATTTGCACAGGTTATTGAAGATACAATCTACAACATCACAAAATTGCACCCGTATACAGAGTATGTCTTTCGAGTGATGTGGATAGTAACAGACAGACTGTATAAATACTCACCTGAAAGTCGCTCTTACAGAACCAAACCATATGGCGGTATGTTGTTTTAAAGAAGAATATATCGATAGAAGTAAGATATACCTTTGCACTGTTTTTAAAAATGCAACACTTTCAAAGCATGTGTTTTTGTAAAATGCCTAGAGCATTGTTCAGAACCATGACAAGTCGTGGATTTTTTTTTCAGCAGCAGATACATATATTACATTGGGTGAGCAATCCTATATCTTAGCTTATCTTCGTACTAGTTTTAAAGATATCTATATTTAGACTTATGCTTGGACTGATATAGTTTGCCTATACATGGCTTCTCCCATTTGGTCAAAATTTTCCTCTCTTAGATTTTCACCGAGAACAAGGGCAAGATCATTGCAAATGGAATAGAGTACAGTGAAGTGTGATGTTATTCCCTTTGTCAGGAAAATACCTTAAAAGCAGAATTTGTTTTAGTTATGAGAGACTAGTAATTATTGCTTTCAAACAGCTTTGGAGTCCTTGCGCATAAGTAGAATCATAGAATCCCTACAGTGTGGAAAGAGGCCCTTTTGGTCCATCAAATCTGCACTGACCCTCCGAAGAGCAGCCCACCCAGGCACCCCACTCCATACCCGTAACTCTGTATGGTGTTTTTATGATAGTTAGCCTGCTAACCTGCACATCCCTGGACTGTGGGATGAAACTGGATCAACTGGAGGACACCTATACAGACTCTGGAAGAACATACAAACACCACACTGACAGTCACCCAAGGCTGGAATTGAAGTCAGACTCCTGGCATTGTGAGGTAGCAGTACTAACCACTAAGCCACTGTTCTGCCCCAAACTGAAACTAACAGTAACAGAAACAGAAAGCTAACAGGCATTCTCAGCAAGGAATGGCAGGTTAGTTATTACTGCAAGTAGAATAGAATATAAGTGTAGAGAAGTTATGCTACAGTTTTGGAGGATTACATGTGAGACCAGATTTTGTCTCCTTACTTTAGGATATAATTTGGTGAGAAGCAGTTCAGAGAAGATTCAACAGGTTGATTCCTGGATGAAGGGGTTACCTTATGAGGAAAGACTGAGCACATTGAGCCTATACTCTTTGGAATTTAGGCAAATGAAAGGCGACTGATTGAAATGTATAAAGTCCCGATGGGACTCGAAAGGGTGAATGCTGAGCTGATACTTCCCCTTCTGCAAGACTTTAGGACAAGGGAGCCCATTTTAAAAATGAAGGGTTTCCTACTTTAGATGGAGCTAATAAAATTTTTCTTCTCTCAAAGCCATTAGTGATAGAAGCGAAGAAATGTAATTCCTAAACTGGCCAATCTAGAATTTGAACATCATAGTTTCGGAAGAAGGGGTCAATCTTTGAAGACTGAGATGAGGAGAAATTTCTTCACCAAGTGGGCTGTAAATCTATGGAATTCTGTATCCTGGAGAGCTGTTTTTACTCAGTTGTTGATGAGTGTATGGGTTGATAAGATTTTTAAATACTAAGGAAATTAAGGTTAAGATGATAGAACATCAATCATCATCTTTTTTAAATGGCCAGTTAGGCTTGTGTAGGAACTATGTGGCTTAGCACAGCTCCTATTGCCTACATGATGGTACCTGCATCCTTTCTTGCTGAGCTTTAATGTCAGTGCGCTAGCTCAAGATTGAGTATAAATTGATAATGCTGCATCAGTGAGTTCTAGAATTTGTATGTCAGGTCCATTGCTGAAATAATCATTGCATATCCTAAATCAGAAGTTGATAATATTGGGGAGAAGGAACTTCATAATGGCTCTGTGGAGGTAACTATGAAGAAGTAGTCAAGAATACTGCTTATAAAAGTTCATGGAGTGGTGGTGAGATGAGGATAAAGCTAAGCTGATTTGTAAACAAAGTCATTTCATTTTTGATACCTGAGGAGCAGATGCAAAGGTAGTGTTGTCATAGTTCTACCAGACCACAGGGCTGCTGCCTCGTTAGAGGGAAATGACTGGTTGTCATTTAACCTGAGCGTCACTAGATCTCAGGTGAGGGGCCAGTTAGCTTAGTTGGCTGGATGGCTGCTTTGCAATGCAGATAGATACCAACAGTATGGATTTAGTTCCTGTACTGGCTGAGGTCACCATGAAGTATTCTCCTTCTCAAACTCTCCCCTTGTCTGAGGCCTGGTGACACTCCAGTTAAACCACCAATGGTCATCTATCTCTGAGAAAGTGGGACTGTGGCGACTTTACCTTTACCTTTTATCAAGATGTACTCTGTTCTATTTAACTCAAGAAAATGTGACTTCATTTTTATTGCAACTTGAAAAGCAGTTGTGGGCTGTGGGAAATTATTTACAGTTTTAAACAATCCAGGGTGGGTATTTCCTTTCTTAACATTTTAATTTCAAATTATCCAACTGACAAAGAATATTTTTTTAAAATTCTATATGTTATGTTTTTCTTTTAGTTCCATCATCAGCACCTATAATCATTAAGATTGAAAGTCCCAGTCCTACCTCAGTGGTTGTTGAATGGAAACCACCCATGTTTCTTAATGGACCATTAATTGGTTACCACATTGAGCTCCAGAGTCGTACTGAACGTTTCCTCAGGGATGCAACTAAGGAACAACTATGTTTTTCTATTTATCCTACTAAGCCTGGCACAATGTACAGGTATTTCATGAATAAATATGTGTGTGTGTATGTCTGTAGCAAATGTATGATGTAGCATTTTCAGAACAAGTCTTGTCTTTGGTAATGTAACTTTGAGGTAGTTTTCCACTAAAATACAAAATATAAAATACAAAAGGATGAAAATATTTGGTTTTGCAGAAATTCACTTTCATTGTCTTCTATGAAATTGGAAATATACAAAAGGCATATTCCACAGGGAACTACACATTGCAAAGAAAAAGTTATATTTGAATAATTTTCTCCTTTGCTGTGTCAACCGTATGTTTTGGCTAACTAGAGATTTTTGTGTGACAATATAGGCTGTCCATAGCTGCAAGGAATACTGAAGGAATTGGACCTCTAGCCAGCATGAATGTGAGCACATTGCCTCAACCAGGTAATTAATTTATTAAATGTTTACTGAAAATGATGGTGCCTTTTTGTGTTATAATTGTACTTTCATGTTTGTTTACAGTGTGTATTAGTAACATATGTCTTTTTATTCTTCGTCAAAATCCTTTTCCATCATGGTCCAACTAATGAGATTTCTGATCCAATGCTAGTTTATGCTCTGCCTTCCATACTTGATGGGCGTTGATGTATTATTTTGTTTGTAGTATAAGCAATCGTACGATCTAGTTGGTCCAATTGATCTGTTTACACCTCATTTATTCACGTAATTGCAGTGGAAGAGCTTTAAGTTTGATTGATATGTTGAAATGGGTTGACTGTAGATGGGTAACATGCGTGCTAGCCAACTTGCCAACATATATAGCCCTTCCACCCGATAAATGTAGGACAACACTGGCAACTTTCTGCAGGCACACTATTCCATTTTGCATGTTTCCAGCATTTCCTAAACACGATATTGACCGTTATTATTTCCAGGCACCTTCAATGTAAGTATCCTGGAGTACGAAACTCTCGTCATGCTGTTGCCTTTAGCCAAATGTCATGGACTCTGGTACTGCATTGCTCCATCACTTGCTAGTAAGACAATAAGAAATAGGAACAGAAGTAGGCCATTTGGCCCCTTGAGCCTGCTCAGTCATTCAATACGATCATGACTAACTGATACTCCTCATGTCCACCTTCCTCCCCCTTTCCCCGTAACCCTTGATTCTGCTTCTGAATCTATCTCAGCCTTAAATATCCACAATATCTCTGTCCCCACAGCTCTCTGTGGCAAGGAGTTCTAAATACACTCAATCTACTGAGAGAAGAAATTCCTCCTCATCTCAGTCTTAAACTGGAGCTCCTTTATCCTGACGTTATGCCCTGTGGTCCTTGACCCACCCAAGAGGGGAAGCGCCCTCCCAGCATTTACCTTGTCAAGCCCCTTAAGTTTTGATGAGACTACCTCTCATTCTTCCAGACTCCAATGAGTAAACTGCTAGTAAGACAATCCCTCCATACCGGGGATTATCTTACTATACCTTCTCTGAACTGCCTCCAATAAAATAATATCTTTCCTTAAATAACGGGACCAAACTGCTCACAGTGCTCCAGATGTGGACTCACCAGTACTTTGTACAGTTGAAGTAAGACTTCCCTACTCTTGTATTCCAACCCCTTGAAGTCAGGGCCAACATTCCATTAGCCTTCCTGATTACCTGCTGCACCTATGTGCCAGCTTTGTGTTTCATGCACAATTATCCCCAAGACGCTTTTGTGTTGCAGCTTTCTCCAGTCTTTCTCCATTTAAATAATATTCTGTTCTTTTGGTCGCCCTTCCAAAATAAGCAAATTTACATTTTCCACATTATACTCCATTTGCTGACTTTTTTCCCTACTTAATTAACTTATTAATCTCTCTCTCTAAATTGATTCCCCCTAACCTTTCCACCTATTTTAGTGTCATCCGGAAGTTTGCTACAGTACATTCATTTCCTTCTCCCAAGTCATTAATATATTTTTTAACAGTTGTGGACCCAGCACTGATCCTTGTCGAATTCCACTGGTCACGGGTCACTAACCTGAAAAAGAATCCCTTATCTCCTCTCACTGTTTCCTTCCCATGAGATAATTCTCTATCTGCGCCACACGGTGGCTACATTGACTGGAAAAATCACTCTAATCTTCATTATTTACATCTAGAAGAAGAAACTTGATTTGGATTTTATAGATAGGAGCCAAAATTTAAATGACTTGGTAGTTTGAGAGCTTAATTTCTGGAGATGTGTTTGGCCAGTTGCCAGTCTAGTTATGAATCACTAAAACATGTGCATTTCAGGGGGATTAAAGAAAGAAGATCCATGCTCAATTCATCACGTGTATGTCATCTGTAATGTTGTGAATCATTACTGATAGCAATTGCAGGAGAAATTTGTGACTCAGAACTTAGAACTATTGGACAAAGGGGACTATGTAAGGAAATGCAATGTAAGTGGGGATTGAAATAGTGAAAATTTTGTTATGTTGAAATGAACGAAGAGCATAATTATAATACTGTTCTGCATAAAAATAACTAAAATCAAGTAACTTAATGTTGCAGAACTATCTGAAAGTCTGGTACTTTGGCTGTCGAAACAAAATACCGTATATGAAAGTAAAGCTGGAGATTTGGAGGAGATATTTTGTACCAGAACAGATTGGATTGGTAACAGCATCACTGGTACAGTAAATTCCTCTTTTCCTTGTAGATACAAACAAGCTGTTCACTTTCCTTGGCTAAGTCACTTGCAGTCAGTGAATGTAAGCTATCTAGCTACAAAAAAATCATGACTATATACTGTTAATAACACAGTCTGGAGCTGGAGGAACACAGCAGGCCAGGCAGCATCAGAGGAGCAGAAAAGTTGGCATTTCAGAGAAGGGTCCCGACCCGAAACGTCAACTTTCCTACTTCTCTGATGCTGCCTGGCCTGCTGCGTTCCTCCACTCCACACTGTGATATCTCGGACTCCACCATCTGCAATTCCTGCTGTCTCTCTTGGCTGTATACTGTTATCTTTTTGTTTGCAGTATTAATAAAGTAAAAATAACTTTTTTAGATAATTTAGCAACATGTACCAAAGATGAGATTAAATTTGTTGATGCAGTTAGCTATTGTGAACTGGAACGCACTGCCTAAGAAAGTATTGGAAGTAGAATCAACAGTGAAATTAGATGTATATTTGAGAAAGAAGAAATGAGTAGGGCTTTCGGGATGTTAGACCGATTACTAACTTCATTAAAAGAGGTAACCAAAGGGAAAATCACCAGAGTCCTACCAGACCATAGGGCTGCTCTCACCAGAGCTGACTGGTGGTGGGTTAACCTAAGGGTCACAAGGCCTCAAATGAGAGGAGAAGTTTAAAATGAGAGTCTTTCCTGGCTATCTTAGCTGGTCCTAGAATTGAACCCACACTGTTGGCATCCTTCTGTGCCGCAAACCAGTCATCCAGCCAAATGAGCTAACTGACCCCAGCTACAGTGGATTGAATAACCTTCTTCTGTCTTTGTTTCTGTGAAACCTATATGCAATATTAATGTAATGACTGCATTTTATCAATTTGATATTTTTGTGTACGTATAAACAAGGGATGTCAAGATAAGAACATTTTGCTTCTTTTGGTGCACCAATTGTCAATAGGTTGTCTTCTGAGATTTTGATGAAAGCATGTTATTGGTACAGTTAAAAAAGCTTGGCTCTGGAGTGGTTAATGGTGGTGGGTGACCAATGTAATGGAAATAATTTACATCTTGTTATAAACATCCACTATCTTGAGAAACAGAACAGATTAGCTAATACATTTGAACAGGAAAATTGCACACATCACACTCATGTCATCATGAGTTACAATGGATTCAGTAGATTTTCTTATGGTGTGGAAACTACAGAATTTGGTGATATTTGAATTAGTTTTATTTAATCATTTGAGAACTTGTAAATAAAGTACATCTTAGCTAAGCATGAGGCATGATATTTATCTCCTTGGTATAAGTTTAGTTTTTATAACTTTTTTTTGCATTCACGTTAGTGGTACAATCTCATGCTGCTACTTTTCAGAGCCTGTCAAACCAACTGAAAAACATTCCTTTGTGTTTAGCGTGAGCAATGATCTAATCAAGGTGTTTAAAATCATAAAAGATTCAACAGAGTGGATAGATGGATGAGGTCTTGTGGCATTGTGATAATGTCCCTTCCTTTAGGCTGTAAGTGCTGTGTTCAAGCTGCACACCAGGACTTTTTGGCCATGGGCTTGCAATGTGGTCAAGCAGGTTAGATATCACCCTGTAAATCCCTTTAATGCACATCATGATAGGTGGTAAAAATGTTAAAAATTTCCCAGTCAGCCACCCCTCAAGATGCACACAGTACCTTGTCTATAAGCATGGACCAATCCTCACAAACAAGGATATGAATGAAGACAGACAAATGTAGGGAAGGTTTTTCGTCTAGTTTGGGATTCCAGAACAACATCTTCCAATCTTAAATTAAAGTTCAGCCTTTTGGGACTTTGGTCAAGAGGCTTTTGTGTGGGGGCAAAATGATTGTGAAAATCTGGGACTATTGATTCCAAAAGCCTGGCAACTTTTGGACATGATGTGGAGGTGCCAGTGTTGAACAAGGGTGGACAAAGTCAAAATTCACACAACACCAGGTCATAGTCCAACAGGTTTATTTGAAAACAAGCTTTCAGAGTGGTGCCCCTTAGTCAAGTGAAGTGAGAGGAGAGCTCATAGACACAGAGTTTATAGGTAGAGAGATCAAAGAATCATACAACTGGTGTAAGTGGAGTGAACAAACCTAAAATGGTTGGCTGCATTTTAGAAGTTGCAGGAGCAGGATATGGAGAACTCTGTTAGAAAGGAGATGCAAGTTTCAACTGATTAAGATGCAAATTCTAGATTCTGTTTCAAGTCACTGCCCCGAGATTATTAAACTTTCATCAGTGTCCGCTTAACTTTCCAAACTTCAAACAGGCAGAGTGATAGGAATATACAAAAGGTGACATCTCTGGTCAGATACTGAATTGTAGGTGTGAGGCTTTGTCCAGAACCTGTCTGAGCTTTAAGCAGGAATCGGGCTGGTTTTGTTCCGAAAGCAGGAATTATAAAATACCACACAAATTGTGTGTTGTGTGTTTCTTGAACAAAGTAGAATGTATCTGCAAATAAACAAACATCTTTGGACGAAATGATTCACCCCATAGGTTTATGTGCGTGTGCGCTTGTGCGTGTGTGTGTGTGTGAAAGAGAGAGTGTTTGTGTGCGCACTTGAGAGAGTGCTGTGCGGTGTCCATTCATCCATTGTCATAGCATCTGCATGGTCTGGCCAATAAGCCTTGCCTGCAGCGTATGAGATAAACAGTTACATGAGTATCTGCAGGGTATATGGTGGGTGGTGTTCACATGTGTGATGGTAGTATTCTTGTCAGTGATCTGGCATATCTTGCAGAGGTTGCCATGGCAGGGTTGTGTGCTATTGTGGTTGATGTTGTCCTGAAGGCTGGGTAATTTGTTGGGAAAATGGTCTGTTTAAAGTTTGGCAGTTGTGTGAACGTGAGAAGTGGAGGTGTAGGGAAGATCTTGGCAAGATGCTCATCATCATTGGTGACGTGTTGAAGGCTGCGAAGGACATGGCATAGTTTCTCTGCTCCGGGGAAGTACTGGACAATGAAGGGTACTCTATCGGTTTTATCCGGTGTCTGTCTTCTGAGGAGGTCATTGTGGTTTTTTGCTGTGGCACGTCGGAACGGGCAAGCGATGAGTTGAGCATCATATCCCGTTCTTATGAGGGTGTCCTTCAAAACTTTCAGGTGTCCGTCACATTCCTCCTCATTTGAGCTGATTCTGTGTATGCACAGGGTTTGTCCATAGGGGATGGCTTTTTTAATATGTTTAAGGTGGAAGCTAGAGAAGTGTAGCATTGTGAGGTTATCCGTGGGCTTGTGGTAGAGTGAGGTACTGAGATGTCCATCCTTGATGGAGATGCGTGTGTCCAAGAATGAGACTGGTTCTGAAGAGTAGTCCATGGTAAGTCTGATAGTGGGATGAAACTTGTTGATATTGCTATGTAGTTAATGGTTTGTTGTTTTGGTGATTCATCGCCGTGAGTCCAAAGGAAGAAAATGTCATCAATGTATCTGGTATATAGTGTCCCGGGTCGGAGGTCCTGTGCAGCAAAGAAGTCTTGCTCAAACTTGTGCATGAAAATGTTGGCATATTGGGGTACAAATTTGACCCCCATGGCTGTTCTGTGTGAAGACGTGTTTGAGGATGAGGTGGATGAGTTGTAGGATGTCGTCTCCTTTCTAACAGAGTTCTCCATATCCTGCTTCTGCGATTTCTAGAATGCAGGAATGTACGAATGATTAAAGATTCAACAGGAGGCAGTCAGCCAGCTATTTTAGGTTCGTTCACTCCACTCACACTGGTTGTGTGATTCTTTGATCTCTCTCTGCCTATAAAAGCTGTCTCCTGTCACTGCACTTGATGAAGGGGCTGCAGTCTGAAAGCTTGTGATTTCAAATAAACCTGTTGGACTATAACGTGGTGTTGTATGAATTTTAACTTTTGGACAGTTGAAACTTTCAAGACTAAGATTGATTGATAGATTTGAGGGCACTGTGAGATATGGATTAAAGATAGCTAAATGGATTTGAGGTATAGTTCAGCTGTGATTTGATTAACTGATGAAGCAGTTTCAAGGCCAAATAACTAAACATTCTTTATTTTTGTCCTTCCCATTCGCATGTTCAAATGGACTAGGAATTTCTGGTGACGTGCGTAAGAAAGAGTTATATATTTCTGAGGGGCCACACATTTGGGCACTATCAGTTGGCAGCTCTAACCATTCTCGTCTGATTTATCGGAGTGACAGATTTATCAGTGATCTCTCTGCAGACTGGCTCTACAGCAAGCTTTATTTTGTTGTAGACAAACAGGTAAATAATCTTGATGCATCATAAACAAAGACACTTCCTGAGTAAGATTACAATTTCCAAAATTCTATTTTTTTGCTACTTTACTCAAAAATACATGACTAGATATATAATCCAGAAAGTTCCTCCTCCTCTTGTTAGCTCTTTGACAAATTGAGTTCAAAAATGTCCTCCATTAATTCCTAGAAAGTTCTTCCTTATTTTACTTGTAAAAGCATTATTACTCATGACAGTTTCTGCTAAGTTGAAATTTCCAGTGAATTGTATATGGTCTTGTACAAATAGATTATTTTACCTCACTGCACAGTTTCTAATTTAAAGCTTTCACCTGGCCTGGAGGTAATTGGCACACCTCCAGGATAGTCACACAAAAAAAATCTATTTGTTCTGCACAAAGCAGTTCTATGTCTGCCCTTTGAGTTATTTCTAAGGTGGGTTGACATGCCTGTTTTATGTACGGACCTTCCAAATTGCTGCTATGATGATGCTTGCTAGAATTTTAATGCTTGCGCATAAAGATGCATATAATTTGTTTTACATTGGGTAGTCATTGAAATCTTGAGATTATTTTGTAGTTTTTGCAATCCTATTGTGTATGTTGTATGATGTAAAATTCATCAGTCTTTGTTTCTAGGTATTACGATGTGATGTGAGAAACTGCTCCACCGAAGTTGTCATTTCATTAGCTTCTTCTCCAGTTAAAATAGTAGCAGATCCATTCAGTGGGTGAGTCAGATTGCCTATGAAAATGTGTGATCACAGTTTTGCCAGCTATTTTCACTGGTTTCTTATGAATTCAGCAATCTAAGTGTGGAGTTTTTGTATTGCTGGAGTTTCAAGCCCTTTCTTTATCCTTCAGAATTGAGAGTATTATGCTTCCAGTAGCATTTTAAACTTGTTGTCTGTAGACAACAAATGGCAAAATCGCCATTTATATTATTGATGAATGTGTTGAATATTCTGTATCATGGAGCTATGTGAAGATGGAACACCAGTTTCAGTCTGTAGGAACTATATTTATAAGAGTTTTTATTTTCCTAAATTATCTGCTTTGTTGTTACAGCTACTTGCTTTCAGCAACTTCTACGGTTTTGGTTTTCTTTTCTGAATTCACAGGAAGTTTAACTTGTCAAATACAGTGAGCATCAATAACAAATGAACTTAACATAATCAAACAGAGAAGAACAGAACACCTGTGTATTGGTTAGATTTTTTTCCCTTGTTGGTTAAGATTATTTTTATCTCCTTTGTTTTGTCAAGTGGTGCAAATCATTTCTTCTTTTTTTTTGTTCAATTTCAATAAGCAATTTAAAAAACATGAAGTCACAGTGACAGTTCTTCACCTGCCCCCTTTTAAAAATATTTTTATGGGATAAATGAATTGAGGGTCACTGGTTTGGCCGCAGTTGTTGTCCTTTGACTACTGTCCTTTGAGGAGGCAATAGTCTTGAAATATTGGCGTTCAAATGGTGAAGGAACACTTGGTGCTTTTTAGAAGGGAGTTCCAAGGTTTTGTCCCAGTGATGGTGAAGGGATCGCAATACAATGTTCAGTCAGGATGGTGTGTGGCTTGGAGCAGAATTTCTAGATGGTGGTATTCTCATGTATCTCAGCTCTTGCCCTTCTAAGCATTAAGAGGTCACAGGTTTGCAAAGTGCTGTCAAGGGAGGCTTGGTGTATTTCTGCAGTGCATCTTGTAAATGGTATTCAGTAATGCCTCTGTACACTGGCATTTAAAGGGAGTAGATATTTCGGTTGGTAGGTGGGGTCCTGATTCAAATACAGTGCTTTGTCCTGGATGGTGTTGGGACTCATGAGTGTTGTTGGCATAGCACTGAAGCAGGCAAGTGTGGAATTTGGAAAATTCAGCATTAGTTCCTAAGGTGCCTCCTTTTAAAGGAGAAAAGGGATTTAAAAAGGAAAATGATAAAATTCCAACTTCTGAGTCACTTTATTCATCAGGATCAGCCAGAATTATTAATGCTCTGAAAATCCATGCATAGTATTGCTGCATAAAATATACCATAATTTTTGTGGCATTTGTACTTTCTGCTTAAAACAAATTTCATTTGGGACTTTTTGGAATGGCTTTGTACACTTTTTAATATTATTAATGTTTTATTACTTGTCCTATTCTTATTTCATAGATATTTGTTTATTGGTTTCATGGATAGCCTATACCGCATGGCTTTACCAGGACTGCTGTTGGAAGCTGAGAACAAAAGCATGGAAACTATAGTAGCAAATACATCACGTCTCACTTTCAGTTTGAACCCATATTTTAGAAGACTTATTTACATTAGTGGCAGAGGAGGCACAGTCCATCATATATTTTTGGATGGGACAGAAATGGGCATGAACAGTTTACTGCCTTTTGATACAGCCAGTATTCAACAGGTAGTCTATTCTTGTAATTTATGGGTTTTAACGAATGGAAAGCAGGTCTATATTGCAGAAGAATACGATAAGCAGTTGTACCCTACCGAGGTGAGTGCGGAGTCATGCAACGTGAAGGATGGAAACTTTGACAACTTGTTTTTGTGGGACTTTTCTACTCAGCCTTTGCCAGTACCTCTTCATGAACCCACCCACTTGCAAGTTGTCTTCGGATCCAATTCAGCAGCTTTAACCTGGAGAAAGCCTCTAACTGGGAATGGGCTTGGTATGTTTTTGTTTTGGTATTTGGTCATGTCATGTAGTTATTTCTTGGGTGAAAATAATGCAGTTTTTGTTTGGAAAGATGCCAACTATGAGATAGAGTTGCCTTGTTTCTCAGTGAAGATGGTTGCATAAAGGGGAAGATGTATTTGGAGTGGAGGTGATGGAGGGGGCATAGATAAAGTAATTGCTGATTAATTCTTTAAAACACTTGCAGTTTGCTTATGAGTGTATGAAATTCATTCAATAAGAACTGAAATTGGAGCTGGTATAGCACAAACACTGTGCCAGATTAGAATAGAACCCATATGTTAATTTGCAAGGAAGCTAAAAGTACCGGGAGTTGGGGGTGGAGAGGCTATGGTCAATTTCAGAGAACTGCTGGAGTGAAAGCTAAGGATCATGTTTCAAGGGGTTTAAGTGCATTCCAGAGGACTTGCCGTCTCCAAAAACAGTATGGAGGAATCCAAGGGCTGCTGAGTGCTCAGGTGGGCCAGTTTGTATGCTGGGTCATTGTCTCAGTCATATAACAGAAATTTAGGCACTCTAGTTTTCATCCCTCAGCCCCACCTCACCCATATCATCTATGCCAACTCATGCTGTGCCATGATGGCCAGTTCTTACCCTCAATGCCGTTCAGCCCCATGGTCCCTTTGTGGGCCAACTTGTGTCAACAAATGATTCCCCCATATCCCAATGGCCCCCGTAGCATGTATGCTAGCTTTGTGCCAATTCATGCCCTTCCAATCGCAATCCTTTGCTCTTAGAACCTCCGTACCAAGTTGCCCAAAATCCACCATGAACCATGCTGACATGATGTGAAATTAAGTTCTAAGTATCTCTTTCAGATTTCACTATGTAAATGCTTTCATAGATAAAAGTCCATTCAATACATTTAAATATTTTCATGTCCTTTTAGAAAAACAAGTATTCATAGCCCCACATCCAAGAAAGCTACTCCTTTAAGTCCTTGGAGTTGTTACTCAAATCCATTGATCTTGGTAGGCTCAAGAAAGGTCTTGAAAGTAGTCAAGCAATAATAATACAGTAATGATAACTTTTTAGGGCAATGAAAACCAAGCAGTTACTGAAACTGCAAACTATGATTTTCTTTTCAGCTCAGAAACACAACAGGAGATTTAAATAATTTGACCGTTCCATTGACCTTTTCTGCCTTTTATAAAAAAACCCACCTATTCTTAAGTTGTAAATCTTAGACTCTGGGAAATGGACAATGCTGCAGTGAAAATGAGACCTTTTTTGAACTCTACATTAAGTTCAGATGAGCCTGCTGGATTTATTTCCTCCATGTGTGAATCCCATCTTAATCTTTTGCCTGTACTAACAAAAATAAGACCTGTTAGAAATGGGGGCAGCAATTCTGGCTCCTAAGGCCTGACACCATTTTGGATTAAATACTGAGTCTCCACAACTACTAAATTCTGGGCTTTATTTCTTCCTTCTATCCAATGTTTTGCCAATTGCCAAGGAAGAAATGCTATGTTCAAGCATCAGATTATCTCCAAAGCTGGCAAACTTCTTATCCAGCATCACAACGTGGAAAAAAATGTTGGCTCAAATCAAACTGCCAATGAATGTGTAAAATATTTCTATTTTGAGATCTGTGTGCAGCTAGAGTTTCAGACACGCGAGAGAAATGTGATTGCATTGAAAGTTATATCAATGTGAAAATATTTGAATCCTTCTCTCGATTGAGTTTTATTTGTTCTTAATATTGTGTTTCTGTTCAAGGACCTAATGCGTGGCAGCAGTGGTCTTATGACCTGATAATTATAAATGGTAACATAAGCAACTATAAAGAAGGAATCGGTTCAACAAATATCACCTTGTATGGCTTGAGCAGTACTACACTGTATACTTTCAAGATACGTGCATCTTCTCCAGGTGGCAAAGGTCCCTGGTCTTCAATATTTCAAGGAACAACACTTAAAGAAGGTAGAAATAATATTTATAAACTTCTAAATGTATGCCAATGAATTTTTTAGCATTTTTATTCAAGTGACAAAAGATATTAGTCATGAGCCATGTTGTGCAGATATAAAGATTAAAAAGGATTTTGGCCAAATAATGCATTTAGAATCATAAAATGCCTGCAATGCAGAAAGAGGATATTCGGCCCATCAAGTTTGCACAGACCCTCCAAAGAGCATCCCACCCAGACCCAGCCCCCTACCCTATCATTTGCCGTAGTAATCCACTCTCAGCCTGCACATCATCGGGTAATTTAACATGGCCAATGTACCTAACCTGCACATCTTTGGACTGTGTGAGGAAACCAGAATACTTGACAAAAATCCATGCAGACACAGGTAGAATGTGCAAGCTCCACACAGACAAGGCTGGAATCAAACCTGGGACCCTGGTGCTATGAGGCAGCAATGCTGACCATTGAGCCATTGTGCCATATTTAGTGGAGTATTATAGTAGAAACCTCTAGAGAGAGAGTGGGCCATAGTTATTTTCTGTTGGAGTAATTTTTTAAGTTTCTCCTCTTCATAGTTAAGTATGTTACTTGACTTTGGACTAGATACATATTTGCAAGATGCTGATTTTGTGTTTTTAAGGCTTTTGTTTGCACATCAGCCAAACTGCTGCTTAAACATTTCAGCCTTTTGCTGAAGTTAAGCTTGTGAAGTGTAAATTGGATCTGATACCTGAATCGACTTTGTTCTGGTTTCTGTTAATGCAGCATACACAGCCTTTTTGGGGAATCAGTTCTCATGCTGATTCAGTTTAATCAACTGATAACTACTCAGGGCTTTTCACTTTCTGATTCACTGTGAGAACTGCCAGGGAACTTTAACTCCATAGCTTGTGTATGATATCACTGACATGGTCTCCAACCAGTCTTCAGATCCTGGCAATTTTTCTATCTCAAGATGCATTATTTTCTCAATTATTCTTTTATTTTTCCATATTTAATTCACTACTTTTCCCTGCTTGACTTATTATTAGGTTCCCTTTTACAATTGGTACTTGACCTCTTCCTCTGTGAAAAGTGTCACTCTGTACTCATTGCCTTATTATTCATTATATATTTTAAAAGTTTTTTGTGCCTGCCTTGGTTCCATGATAACACTGACATCTGAGTCATGAGGTCATGCATTCAAACCAAGGGTTGGGGGTGTGAAGGGGTTAGTTATGACTTTGGGCAATCATGTGCTCACCCTGGGCCAGCACATCCCATGTGTTAAAGTCCCAATTTCCAATCCTCCATCTGCACCTTTCTAATAGGTATAGCTGCTTCTCCTTGTCTGATTCTTCTTTCAATCCCATCTAATCAAACAATACCACCCATGATAAGAATAAAGAAAAGGCAAATAAAGTACCTGAGGAGCAATTGGGTATTTGGGGACTATTTTTTGACCCAAAACACACTGACATTCAAATCTCCTGGTCCAGTTACCTTAAGCAGAATGTTTCTTTAAATGACATGATGAAGGGTCTAGGCCCGAAACGTCAGCCTTTCTGCTCCTATGATGCTGCTTGGCCTGCTGTGTTCATCCAGCTCTGCACCTTGTTGTCTCGGATTCTCCAGCATCTGCAGTTCCTACTATCTGTTTCTTTAAATGTTGGTTTTGGAGACGTGTTCTGGTAAGTTGTGCTGGCTGGGACCAGATTTTGCATTAAAAATATTTTGAGGACATATTTGTGTCACTGATCCTGATTGCGTGGTTTGAGTCCCCTTGTCTATGTCTCAAAAATTCCTTAGTTTACAAACTACATGGTTAAAATAGTGAAATTCAGGAATGGAATGGTTTGTCTCCTGCAATGATTTTGCCTGGGTCATTCTGGCTAAGTGAGCAGAGTTCAAATTCCAGTGTTAATCTTATGTTGGTAGAATATCTTAATATTAAATCTCCCACAGATGGGAATATCTGGATATCTTAACCCGTGTTGCTTGCTATTTCTGTAAACACAAAATTAATCTTTGCAATTTAGTAACTTTGGCGGTATGTGTATTACATTTGATTCATTTTGCTGTCTTGTTTTCCTGAAGGTGTTATTCCCTATGTTCTAGCAGGAAATGAAGTGGGGGTCTGGAAAGTTTTCTTGGATAAATTTACAAATGAAAATATACTTCCAAGTGTGAAAAATGCAATAGGTACAGTACAGGAATTGTATCACAAATTTCATCTATACATCTCTACGTACAAAAATATTTTTATTTCAGACTTTGTAAACTTCTTGATGTTCGAAATACACATATTTAATTTTAAGGTGTTTTTAGAAGAAGTTAAGCTGGAACAATTTCAGTGATCATTTTAACATGATGAACATCTTTAAAGCATTTACTGCTGCATTTATTCAAATGATTGAACAATAGATTTGAATTTCTTTTGTTCAGTTTAAGACTATCCACCTTTTACATGAAGACATGAATACAATTAGGATGATTGGAATGTGCTACATTTCTGAATTTCAAAAATGTTATATAGGGAAGTTTTGTGTTCTAAATGATTTTTTTAAACCAAATGGATTTTCACATTTAAAATGACTGCAGGCATTTGGAGAAGTCGTGCATTAAAATTAGATATTGATACCAAAGGCTGGATTTTCACCTATTCTGGTTCACTTGGGAGTCCTGTAAAATGGGTGGGAACCTCATTCTGGGATTCTCAACTATATTCCTGGGATTTATGATGTTCGCCGATTTTTAAATTGCATGTTGGCGAGCCCATATCTGGCATTTCTGACCCGGCCAGTGGAGTACGTATGGTCTATTCCTCTGCAGTTTTCACGGGGACTATGACAGACCTTAAAGAGACAGATCTTGCATTTTATAGTTCTATCCATATTGTATGATTTGTCAATATAGTCCTAATTTATAACTGTCATTCAGCTAATATGAATGTCTTTCCTTTTCTAAATATAGATTTAGACTGGCTGAATAGTTCCCTCTACTGGACAAATTCTACTGGTTTTGCTCATGTTACATCCTTATTTGATAGTGACAGTGAGACAGATGTGATACAAGGCTTGCAGAACGTGGGAGCATTAGCTTTGGACTGGATAACTAATACCCTGTACTGGGCTGACAGTGAGAAAAATAAGGTACATATCATAACAATTGTATTTTTCAAACAAGTTTTAAAATATTAGAAGATAGTCCTTTTATTCAATAATATTGCAACCAGCTTTAATACCCAGACTCATACTGGGCAAGAAAATTGCAAGTTGAATATCTTACCTTAAATTATTACAGGAAATGCTTGAGAATTCACCAGGTCTATCATCATCTGAGAAGAGAGAAACAGAGTTAATGCTTGAAGTTCAATATAATTCTACTTCAGAACTCTATTCAGGAACTCCTATTGAGTATTTTAACTTGCTTTGTCCTTCAGCAAAATAAACAATTGTTAGTCAATAGCTGGAGGGGGAATGAATCCAGGGCATGAAGGACAACACCTGGAGCAGCATTCCTGCAGCACTTCATCCCATGAAGGAAATTATCAACAGAATCTCATTTTGTTATTGTGTTACAGTGCATTAGCATATCGTTTGGGCATCTTCATCTTCCTGGTGGATCCTGATTCTCTTCAGCGTTGCAGAAAGCTGCTGTTACTTTCCTAGTAGACCCCCAAGTGTTGGTGCAGGATAGTCAGCAACCCATGAAGGAAGGAAGAAGGTGGGTAGGTGGAGACAGAACCTGGGAGAGAGAGGAAGGCAGTTAGGCAGACACAAGGATGGATAATAGTAAGCAAGTGAAGGAGAAAAGTTGAAAATAAGGACTATGTGTTGATGAAAGCCTATGCTGCAAGCAGGGCCTTACAGGGTGTGGGGGTGGGGTAGATGAAGGACATGGAACAAGGTGCACAGTGAAAGTTGGAAGAACTGTGTCTCAAGTATTTTTGCTTGGGGAAACTACAGGCTTTAGGATTCAGTGTCGAATTCAATAATTTTCTGATCTGAGCAGCCCATTGCACGTCCTCTAGCCATCCCCACACTGCAAGTCCTGACACAACAATGACTGCTTTCAGCTCAGCCAAAACAATTTCACCTACTTATGATCCCATTATTAGCTTTTCACCTTCCCTGGCTCGCTATCAGCCATCCCTTTCTCTGCCCAACTATCTGTCTTTATCTCTGGGTTCTGTCTCGACCTATTCCCCCACCTCTGTCCTGTACATCTGTACAAATTTTAATTCAAATCATCCACCTGCAGGGCCATTTTTTTTGTGTGTGACTCTCCGCCTCCAATTTCATCTTGACACCCTCTGTCAATTATCCCCTATTGCTTCCCCAATCCTCTTTCATCTAGCAATGACTGTCTCTGGATCTCCATCATTTTCCTCTTCTATCTAGTAATTCATCCTCATGGGAACCTCCAACTGACACTCATCAACATGTCACAATTGAACTGCTGTTGGACTCAACCTGATGATGAGGAACAAAGACATTGACTGCAACCTAATTTATTTTCCCTGCCCACCTCACTTTCTGGTCTTACAGGCTCCATTAAAATCCCCCACCTCGTAAATGTAGGTCATACAATGGGCTGGATACTACATACCCTTGCTAGGTATGTTTGCGTTGGGTGGGCAGGGAAGATGTGAGAAAGGGTAGGTGACCAGCCAACCAGCTTCCCATTTATCCCCATTATATAAAGGGTGGGAAAGCATCAAAATTGGCAGCTCGCCCAGCATATATAAATAAATAATCAACGTGAATATTGCTGTGTCCACGCCACAGTACAGTTGATGTTGGCAGGCATACAGGAATGGGCAGCCTGTTTTCTTTTACAAAAGGAAGGTGCCATTTGCGTATTAAGGGCAGCTCTCCCTCCACCCTCAACCTGCCTACTTCCTTCCTCCTTGTGTGGATGATAAAATCTAGCCCTCTGTACCCATTTAAGATTGTAAAACCTTCCCTACCCAGTGCTGCATCCTTGCCTCAATCCCGGATCCATTGGGACCTTCATCCTGGGACTGGTTGCCAGAACAGCACCGTCTGCTACCAAGCACTGGAGCTACTGGAATTGACAGCCAGTCGGGTTGACCAGACCTTCTGCCACTAAGGGGTAGAAGTGCATCTGTCCACTAAATACGGTCTTCCCAAAGCACATTTTGGCTGTGAGGCAGGCTTGTTTTGATTCTGGGCCCAGGTCAGCAGCCAGTGAAAACAATGTCTTGCTAGAATTGGACGATTTCACGATATACCTGATAATAAGTTATGGTCAAGAAGTTATCTACATTTGCCCATTACAATTTTACATTGCTGTACATCAGTCAAATTTATTAACGAACATACTTACATTTTAATTTTATGTTCTTTTTAATAACGTTTATCCCTTTCCAAAAACCTTATTTTGTTCTTCTTCGTGGATTTACATCAGTTGAAGTGCTCATGGTACACAATCAAAACTTGGAACCTAAGCCCCATTTTGAAAATTGTGCAACGTATGAGTCAAATATACAATAGATATTTTGTTGTATTTGACTGTTATTGACTCCACAACCGTTAACTGAGTGCCATACTACCCTTAGTTGAAGGGCACACTGCTAAACATTCCTAAAGTGAAATACATAAAAGAAATTAACCAAGTATCCTCAGTGATAATGAGCATATTTTAAATTTGCGAATAAAAAAATGAGCTCACTGCAATTTTACCTCAGATAAAATAGCTACAAGATGCTTGTACGTTGAAACCATAAATTAGAAAAAAATGTTCTCTTGCTGAAAAGAACATTCAGAATTTGAATAGTAATTGCAATAATGTCAGCACTTAAGTGACAATTATAGCACAAAGCAAAATGCCTTTTTGTAAATTGCCATTATTAAAACTTTAAAGCACAAGTATTAGATCATTTGCCTAATTCACGTAATTGCATCCCTACCCACTTGCCCCAGGGGAATTTTATTTTAATTCTAATTTACATATTTAAAGCCTCATTACTTGGGTCAATTTTTAAGTAAATTTTCAAGTGGTGTCTAAGATTTATCAGCAAGTGTAAAAGTAATGTATAAAAATAAATCATTCTATTATGTTTTAATTATGATCCATTTATGTGGTTTCATTGTGGTTTCACATGTGTATTTCTCTGATATGATCTGGAAGCTGTGCTGTTTTCAATCATTTCAGCGTATCTGATATAAAACTCGTAAGTTACAAGGATTTCATTTTCATTATTCTGTTTACTGAATTTAACAGTTTCTGGCACAAATTTAGGGCTGTTGATCTACAAACTTGGATATTATTCAGGCGAGGTTTCACAATTTTTTCACATAAAAAAATATGAAGCACAATAGTTTGGCAAATAATAACTGGGATATATAAGCATAAAAATGAGGAAAGTATGTTAAAAATCAGATCCCTATCTGAGAACCTAACTGAAGCAAGAGGAAAGCTTCCATTACTTTTTAACACCTGTAGGCAAAGTGAATTTCAAATTGCAGCTTCTAGTTTTGTACAAATATGTTCAATCATCTCCCTCAAGGATGGAGTTAAAAGTAAGCTTCCCAGCTGATTAAATCAACAAAACTGAATGAAATCAGTTTTGAAATTATTTTGAAGTCGTCACTGTCAGAAATATCATATAATTAAATCAACAACTCAGATGTACAATTGACTGTGATGCGTATGATGAACAAAAATTACACTAGGTAAGTTGGTAGATGGGTTCCTGACAGCCGCTCTGTCAATTGTCAAACAAAGTAAGCAAATCAACATCTTTTATTGTTTTACTTCTCTGGGATACCACATGAAAAATGGGGTTCAGTTTTGATGAAATGGAATTTATGCACAACGGAAGATGGAAGGGGGCAGTATTAGATTATTAAGAGGTTGACCATTCCGGTTAAAATGAGGAGAAATTTGTTTGTAAGTTTTTCGATATTTTATACCAGTGGACCGTGGATACTCACTCACTGAATACATTCAAAAATATGATGGATGGATTTTTGGACACTTTGGGAGTCTGGGGTTAAGGGGTGCGTTGTGTATTTGTGTAATTATGGTGGGCTGTCACGTTGAGTCCAATCACGTGCTGTAATAATGGCAACATCAGCTATTTTGGGCAGAAAACAGTTTAGTCTAATCTTGCTGCCTGTGGAGTGAACATCTCCTTAATAAAGCTTCTACTGTTTAACATTTCAGCCCCTGCTCCTTCTTGCAAAGTAACAATGTGGATGGTGGAGAAAATGGTGTTGAGCTAGAAGATCAGGTCACATTAAATGATGCAGCCTTGAGGGGCTGAATAATCTATTGTTCCTCCTATTTTTATGCTGTGATGGATGTAAGTTTCAGCAGCACATGGTCTAATGCAGGGTCAAAGCCAGATGATGATATGGAGACGGAAGTAGATCATTTTTGTGATGGAGCATTTGAAAATTGATTAGGTTCCTTTATCGGCATGTGCCAGTCCAACTAATTTTCCTTTATTTACTTTTGCCTATGAAATTCTGGGTATTTTAGTAACAATCAAGCTTGAGTTATTTATTTCATTAGTTCTTACCCAGGCTTGGACTTGGATGAGCAATCTGACCATCCTTATAGGAAAGGTGAGCTGGGAAGTTTGAAAATGGATCTGCAGTTTGCAAGGACTAAAGAGTTGTGGATGGATATTTTGAGGAGGTTGATGGCATTTTTGAAAAGGAGAGAATAGTGACTGAAGTGTTAAGTAATTTGCAATGTTAGCTAGAATGGGAATCACATGGGAAGATTGTGTGTCTTGCAGTTCAGTGGGAATATATTCATAAGAGAATGGCGGGTCTTAGGGACAAGAGAGCATCAGGGAGGCAGGAGAGGTTAAGAGGTGAGACTAGAGTGAGTCTGGATTTGTTTAGTTTTATATTTGAAGAGAATAACATTCATTTGCAAATGCTTATTTGGCAGTATGATCTTTTTCTAATTATAAGTCAGAATGTCAGTGCTGTATTTCATTGGCCGATCATTTCCGTTGTGTTGTTAATGCAATCATGTTATTTATGTGATTTATCAATGTCTAGATATTCCGTATGCCTTTGAATTCAGAGGTAATTACAAAGGTCATGGATGTTGCAGGAAAAATTCAAGATCTCCAGCTAGATCCACTTCAGGGCTACATGTACTGGACAACAGCACAGAGTGTGGAATATGCTCGGATAAATGGTGACCATCCGGGCCTGCTTGAGAAACTGCCTAATTTCTCTGGTAAACAGGTGAAACTGGAGTCCAGATTGTATTTGCAGTGTTTAGCCCCAACATGAAGGTTTGTGCGTAAATTTTGTTTCTAAATGTGTTGCTTTTAGATTTCAGGACTGACTCTGGACTTTGATCTTGGAGCACTGTATTGGCTTACACAGGATAATATCAGGCTTGAAATAAATCAGGTGGACCTTATCTGGAAAGGGTAGGTAAATAAACGGAAACCAATATAAAAGCATAGGGATTAAGAGCACGAGTAAGCCTTTTGGCTCTTTAAACCTGCTCTTTCATTCCATTAGACCATGCTTGATTTGGTTGTGTTCTCAATGTCGACTTTCCTGTTGCCCTCATTGCCATTTACTCTCTTGTCTATGAGTACTGTGTCTAACTTAACCTCGAATATATTCAATGACCTAGTTCCCACTACTCTCTGAAGAAGAGGATTCCACAGACAAATGACCATCTGACAGGAGAAAATATTCTGCTCATTTCTGTCTTAAAAGGGAAACCTCTTCTTTCTAAACAGTATTCTTTGTTATAGTCTTCCCCATGACAACATTTAATGTTTGCATTTCCATAGTAAAACCCAAAGGTTGGCAAGTTGCAGTCCGGTCATTTCCCATTTAAAATTGCTTCCTCCTCCCGTTCTACCCACTTGCATGATTTCAGAAATTAAGTTTTGAAGGTGTTTAAATATATTGAATAATGCCAAGAAATCAGTATAGTTGTGAAGGGAAGTGAGAAATTCATAATGGAGGTGCCACTTTTTAATAGCTGTGAAAATCGGTTACTTGCAATAAATTCTAATTTTGGATTTTGAACAAAAGACATGAACATCACTAATCTCAATGTATTCTTCACCCACATGAATGTAAATATTAACTAAATTCAGACAATCGAATCTTAAGAGTGGCATTTTGCATTTATTTTGCATTAATAACATTATTCCATTTTCAGCATGCTAAAGAATACATTATAATTTTTCATTGAAATTTATTCTATGAACACACTGCTCTCTTTTCTCCTGGCATAGGAACAAAGGCAAAGTTAAAAAGATTTTATCTTCTGATTCTTTGAAAACCTCTCAACATGTGCTTCAATACTACTTTGGCAAATTGGTTTGGATTAATGAAGAAGGTGATTTGCAAATTGTCGAAATGGGAAGAAAACAAACTGTTCACCTTTCTAGTGGCATGCCCTTTATAACATTTGCTGTTGTACATCAGAAACCACTACCAGGTTAGTTGCAATACATATTTGATAAATTGTGCTGTGAAGTGTGCATATGCACACACCTTAACAAAAGTTACTTGAGCGCCATGTTAAAATAAATGACTTATTTTCCATTATTAGCAAAGCTCCTGAAGGGACATGAAAATATTAAATAGAGATAACGAGGTGTAGAGCTGGATGAACACAGCAGGCCAAGCAGCATCAGAGGAGCAGGAAAGCTGA